TTTTGTTTGGCCCCAAAATAAAACCTAACTTTTCTGGATTTTCAATTCTAAAATTCTCAACACATGTTTAATGAAAATAGAAAGTAACCATATGGTTAGCTTTAGTGCAATGATATCTACATTTTATCTTCACAAATGAACCACTAATGATACTTGTATGAAGAGTTCAAAATCAAGAAAACTTACCTTGAAACTGAAATTCGTGTTTTGATTTAGAGAACCTTTCAAGGTGTTGTGATGATCAAAATAGCTTCAATGGACCTCCAAGAAGCTAATGCGATGCTTAGCTTTGATTCAGAGTGACTGTATTGTCTTGGAGAAGTCAAGTTGAAGGTGGCTGTTTTTGAGTTTGGAAAGTGATGAAGATGCAGTTACAGTTGTGGAACAAGGACAGGGATGGACTATATTTTAGTATGGAAGATTTGAAAATTATTTTTAGGGAAAACTCACGATGGAAATGGAAGATGCAAGTTCAAAGGCAGAACTGTATACAAATGGAGTTTTTGTGTGCAATTTTTGGCTACAGGGAGTTTGGGAGAGTTTCAGGGCTTGTTAATTAATGTTTTGCTTGTAAATAAAATCCTCTATTTATAGGGAAAGGTTTTGGAAGCTTGAAGTAACCAGAAATCAGATATCACATGTTATGGTTTAGTTGAAAATGAGAAATCAAGTTGAATGAATTTTAATGATTCCAAATTTCAAGTACAAGCATGGTATCTTGTTTGTTGGATGCAGGGTACTTGATTCATGCTTTTGATCTTGCTTTCAATCAGAGATATAAGTTACAAGGCTCAATGCATTGACAATTTGCATAAAGCTTGCTTTTCCAAAAGGGAAGTGTGACCTTTCTTCCTTAAATGGCAAGTCAACTTGCACAAAGCTTGAATCATTTGGACAATGGATCTATCATTTGTGTAAACATTAAATTATTGAGTGATTTGTAAGTTAGAATTCCTGAAAAGAAAGATTATGCAGCATGCTTGAAGATTGGATCAAATGTTCATCAAGAAAATGACCTATAATTCAAGTTTATTAGGCCATCTTTATCTCTTCGAAACTTCTAGCTCAAGCACGATCTCTTCAAGTTCTTGGAAATTTTGGAAAGCTTGAAACATACTCTACAACTTTCATGTTTTACATTTTTTCTAAATCAAATTAGAGCTATGTAAAAAAAGGTCAAGAAGTTGGTACAAAAATCTGCCTAAATTAGGTCAAAATTCCACTGTGTTTAAGAAAAAGTGCATGACTTCATGGGTTTATAACCCAAAATCCAAGAATTTCTATGAATTTATTAGTAAAGAAAAGTTGTAGATATCATCAAGATATACAACTTTCATGTTGAAAGTTTTCTTTGAATCATCTTGCATCTTGGTGAAAAATTAGCATGAAGCAATGAAATTATCATGTATAAAAACACTTAGAAAAATTTCTAAGTCTTGAAAAGTTTGACTTTTCACATTGACTTTTGACTTTATTGATTTCTTGATGATCAAGCATCATATTTTTGAATGTCTTTATGAATTATGATCTTTGAAGCTTAACTTCGACCAAAAAGTCAAAGTTTGACTTTTGTGCATCAGTTGACTTTTCATCAGTTGATCAAATTTCAGCTATCAATCCATTGATCTTGAGGAATATTTTGAACCATGAAATTAGGTCAATATATTGTATTTTAATCCTTAAGATTATGCTTCAAGTCATTAGATCATGTACTAGGTCAAAAGTCATTGATCAGTCAATTACAGTCAAAACCCTAATTTTGACCATTTTGCCCTTTTGGTAAATTGAGTGCTTTTCTTAAGGGATTGTGATCAATACTTGATCAAATGACTAATAGGACTTTAAAATGTTGATGCTGGCAAAAAGTCATGAAGTTTCACTGTAGGTTGACCACAGTTGACTTTTTACCCAATATAGTTTATTTTTAGTCATTTGGTCAATTGACTGAGCAAAATTGTGATTCAAGACTTGAAACTTGACATGAGTATTCTCGGAGGTCTATAATGATCCATGAAATTCATTTGAGGCACTATAAGTCCAATTATCCTTGTGAAAATCAAAACCCTAATTTGAGGCATTAATGTTTAGGAGATGGTTTGACCTAGTCAACACTTGTGGAAACTTGAGCTATTGGAGATCTTGTTAGAAATGTCTTGAGAAAAGAGAGGGAAAACTTTGGGGTGAAACAATAGCCAATGGGAGCCTTTCTCTAAGGAATCTCTGTCTGTATAAGTCATACAATTGATTATGTGAGGTTAGGAATTTCCAACATAGATGAATTTTCTAATCCAACCTAAAACATTAATTGAGCTATAATTTTCTCAGCCAACATATCAAACATAAATGTGTAATCGATTTCATACTGGAAATTCATAGTTTTTTGTCTCACCTCATATGCCATAGAACCTATTTAGGAATTAAATGGAGAAACATATTGAAACAGTGAAATACCAGGTGCAGTCGAATCATCCTCAGTAGAAACATCTTTTAAATTCAGAATACGCTAAAGAGCCATTTCACTTGTTTCTCAAACCTCTTGAGCTGGATCAGAATCCAAACTATGTTTTAAACTTCTTCAATAGTTGCTGCAATTACTTTACCCTTATCCACCACAAGTACTGACCGATTAAAACTTCACAATAAATAAAAGATAAGGTATCACAGATAGATCGATTAATCACATGAGCATTAAAACCCGATCTAGTAAATTGAACTATATATTTTTATTGGAGGTTGATGAGACAAACTTTTGCAGTATTTAGAATAACACTCTTGCAATACGGTAAGATGCTCATATACTATTGAAGGTACTTGTTACATCGATCGTGGAAATGTTAGCAACGAAGACAACACATACAGATCTTGTCTTGTAAACTACAACCCGTGGTTGAACAGTAAATCTTAAGAGATATAACAAAACCCTTATATGTCATTTAGTAACTTAAAAATTAAACAACCAAACTATGATTAAAGCTTCAAATGGGCCTCTTATTAATTACCTCAAGATTTGAACCACAAGATGAAATTGTTGGATTAGTATGAGGTTTTCTTGTTTTTTGAGCTCTTTCCATAATTCTAACCAAAATGATATATCCAAGTAAAAGATCTAGTTTACATGTTAGGAATTACCAACATTTCCAATCTCCATAATAGGCTGCTCACAAGCTGATGTCAATGCGAGATTTGCATATTGAATACAAGCTTTATCAACCTGCAAATGCGAATATCGATCATGCTCCGGAGACATATGAACAATGGTTTATAGTTACATTTTAAAATATGGGAAGTTGACAATAACATAACCTCTAACTGCTGCAGAAGGGTGTCTTTAGATATTATATTATTATTTTCTAGAGACTTTACCAGTATCACTACATTGTCCTTGAAGGCATTTTCTTCCGCAGAAGTAGTGGAATCCACTATCAGAGTTGATTCACAATTCTTTTTCAGAAGTCCTAGAGTATGACATCAGATTTCTTGACAAGATACATATAAAAGTTAGCATTAGAATCATCATAAAAAGTCAGCATTAACGAAAGTGTACTCAAGACATTTGATAAAACATTTTACATTCATAGTAAACATATCATAAAAAATAAAGTGTTTTCACTTTAAAGGTTCTCTATTGTATACAAGAAAACCAGAAACCAATTTTCAACTTATGAATTAAAACTGGAGAAGCAATAGGAGACTTATTTGAGTTCAACCGTCGACGTCGGAGACTTATCACACTTAAACATGCATTAACAAAGACCAAAACTTGTTCAACATACAACTCTACATAAACCATACAATATCAACATCAATTTCAAGATAATAGTTCACATTTTACACTAACTCAAATCCGTAACAGTCGTCAAACTCAGAATTTAATTCAAGCTAATAAGTCATATTTAAAACTGACCTAAATTGCAATTTCAATTGCAAATTCACTGCAAGACCAATAACATACCGTAATATATACTTCAAACCTTGCAGATCCAGTTACCAATAAACTCATTTTAAAACCAATGCATCAATACTTGGTACTTGCAGGTATCAACATCACTAACACCGTTGTTGAAAAGCACACCATCTAGATTTAAAGAGTAAGCATTAAAAACCAGTATTTTTATCTTGTAATACAATAATTTTTGTATCAAATTAGTACCTCAAATCTTAATTGCCAACACAACATGTTTCAAAACGAAAAAACATAAAATCCGCACATATAAACAACATCAGAAGAAAAAAAATAAAGTTAAAACCGAATTTGTTTCAGAATACTTCGTCGTCCGCCGCAAACCAACACCGACAAATCATCCATAATCTAAAATTGAGATTTTTAGTATCCAAGTGAAGTAAAATAAGCAAATAGATCATGAAGAGGAAGAACATTTTCGTCTGAAAGTAAAAGCCATCACCTGGAAATCGTCCTAACAGTTTAAAGAAAAAGTAGAATGAACGAATGGAGAAGAGAGAAAGGAGACGAAAATTTGTGATTAGAAAGAGAGAATGAACTTTACAAAGTTTGAAAATTAGAGTTTGTTGCAGGAGAGAGAGAGAGAGACCTAATATAAAATTGTTGTGAAATAGAGTTGAAGCAAAAGAATTAAAGTGTAGTTAAGACATCCATGTGGCAACATGTATAATCAATAGGGCAAAACGAGTATTTCCTGAATATGATAGATAATATGTATATCAAAATTTTAATTAAATTACTATATAGATGGCGTAATTTAAGGACGAGAATATGGAAAACTTGCAATATGATCACGTAAATCTATATCTTGTAATTCCAACAAATTAAAAATCACTACAACGTAAATCTATTTAATTATTTATTAAATAATACAATTATCTGTTATTTTCAAAACATTTTATATTGAATGTAACTTTAGTGAACTTTTTGAGTAGGGTAGATAAAACATCATCTTTAGATATTTATTTATCATTAGTGTAAAACTAGTTCAGTTTACACTAACTACATGCCCCATTATTTCATATATGAATGATCACTTCTAAATAGAGTCACAATCTGGGTTAAGAAGAATGCATCCAAGACCAACTTCATTATCTGATATGAAATTGTTCTTATTGTCAAACAATAAAATATCATCTTCTATTGATGACTCACTTAGCTTCACTTGTTTATTCCACTCGTCAAGAAGTTGTTTATGAAACTTTTCTATAGGTGTCAACCTCGCAGGTGTCATCCTCACATACACCACCTGTGAACGTTTCTTCGTAGGGATTCTAGACTTCTGTAAAATTGGAATTTTCCTGCCTAATAAAAGTTCATGAATTGTTAGGTCTTCATAATATTTTTCAAGTTACTCAAATAAAAAAATTGATAATTAATTACTAATACCATTTTTTGTGATTAAAACACTGCTTGAAGGCTTGTCCTTGGCATTGAGACAATTGCTTTCATGGTTTTCACTAATTGATGCATTGTACAACACTGATTTCTCTTCAAGTTTCTTCGGACAAAGTGGAGTAACTGACGAAACCATTGCAGTATTGACAAAATTAATTAAGAATGATTATATCTTTTTATTCTTAAGATGTATTAAACATGCCAATGTATATATACCAATATATAAACAACGTAAGAGTTGTGTCTGCTGGTTTTTACATGAATATAACTTTTCATAGAGACACAATGGTTGGCACTTGGCGGCAAAACCATACAAGGAAATTATCCTGTAATAACTTTCTAGCGTGTCGAAAATAAATTTCCATAAAAGCTTCTCTATATCAAGTATTTTATTTAAATTATTTTTCATTTATATTCTCAGCATTCTTTGACATCATTAATGTTATGAGTCAATCTTACAATGCATTCGTGCAATTTACAGGGATGGATTTTCATCAAAAATATGTTCTTCGACTTTTATGAATTTTTTGTATGTTAACCTTTATGAGTTCAGCTCAAGAGATTGAAGATAATTTTTTCGGATGGGTTTCGGTGGTGTTTTGTGTTTAACAAAGATATTAAAAATTTAGAAAACTTGTTTTAGTGATTAGTTTTTTCTGTCTCTAATCCATCATAAAAATTAAATGTTACATGTCATTTATTACGTTAACTAAAATTAAGGTTGTCACAGATATTTGGATAGAAGGAACTAAGTTGATACATATTAAATGGTCGAAGAATCAAAATGATCTATTTTAAAGTTGAGACTAATATAAATATGGATTACAAGATACAAGATATAAAAAAGAGAGGGTATTAAGTGTTGTGTAGAATATGGGTGTAGATTGATCTTGAAGAAGGGGTTGAATATTCCTTTTCTTATTAATCAATTTCAAAATATTATTTTTAAAGTTAGAGTTTTATATAAAAAAATGAGGTAGTGGAATTTTTTACAAAAGATGGGCTTGGTTTGATTTTATGGTTTACTTAGAATATTAAAAAATACAATGAATAAGAGAGATGAAGATGCTAAACAAACAATGTGTCAATTGACCGAATTCAATTTACATGAAATATTTAAATTGAATCTTATCAATCGAACAATCAATTTAACACTACTATTCTATACCGTTATAATTACCAAAAAGACAATTTAGATGGTTGAATCTACCACAATCATAAGCTTACACAAAATTACTATAAGCTACTAAAAATATAGTCACATATGATTTTAGAAAAGCAATAAAACCTAATATCATACAAATCTAGATTGAAATTTAAAAGAATAAGGAATGATAAATTATGCACTAGAATTATACTGATTCAGTGCATTGGTCATTACTAGAACTTAGTCTAGTCTTTAATGGAAACTCACTGAAAATTTGTTGGATCTTTCACTATTTTACAAATTATATAATAAAATTATTTTTTATACAGTAGTTACATGGCAAAATAAGAGAAGATAGGAATCTCCTTGAAGACCTCCACTTCCAACGTCAATTTAAAGTATAATTGTACTTGTCAAAAAGTACAAGAGTGCGCGGTATCCTAACGTAGATAAGGGATATTCAAAGGACTTTGTAGTTAAGGGTGGTTAGGTATTTTTCATGTTAGTGAAAACCCTTGTTTGGTGATATTCATGGTGGTAAGAGAGAGTCAGCTCACGAGAGGTCAAAGGTTTTATGTCTATAGATCACTAATATTATATTCTGCATATGAATATAAACTTTATTAAATTAAAAATCCATATCAACGATCAATTAGGATTGAGCTACAAGTAGAACCTCTTCAATAAAATATCTATCTTTTTCTCTGTGTGTGTAATGGGCAAATAAGTGGACTAAGGAGTTTTTGGACCTTTTAGAAAATCAAATTTTATTCTTTGTGAATCGTTTTAGACCGTGTCATATGCTTCTTACCACAGTTTCGCGGCCTGTTCTATAATTTTCTTCAACCAACTGATTGACAACAACAACATTATAGAAATTTTTCCTCTCAAACACTATATTCTTATAACAACTAGTACTTTCATTCCATGCGATACACGAAATAAATTATAGATACATATTATATATGAGAATTTTTTTATTGAATTTTTATTGATTAAATAATTGAATTAAATAGAAATTAGTGATAGAATAATAAGATGAATAATTAATATTAAATATTAATTAATATATTAAAGGGTTAAATAAGTTTAAGGTCCCTCCAAATGTCTCAAATTTCGTTTATAGACCCTCAAATATTTTCCTTCAAGAATTGGTCCCTTCAAAAAATTTCGTCTGAATAATTGGTCCCCAACGTCAAGTTCCACTAACGGTTTCCTATGTGGCAAGACAGATGGATTAAATAATTTATTTTATATATTTCCATGAAATACAACGTGTACACTGGCCCCTTATTAAAGATGAGCCACATGCTATTTTTTACCTAATTCCTTTCCTTTCCTCTTCGTTAACATTCTTCTTCGTGAAAATCTGCAGCACAAGAGTTGGTTCAGTGGTTCATCTTCTTTATTCTTTCATCTCCGACCTCCTTCAGCTCCATAACATAATGTCTTATGCTTAAGTGAAATCGCGATTTGGGAAGTATTGCGCATGTCAGGTTCGGATGGTATCGTATTATTGCAAGAATTGACCAAATAAGGGTAGGTTATTTTGGAGATGTTCTTATTGGTAGAGTTCTGATACGTGCAATCTATTCATATGGGATGAAGATCTTGGCGTAAAATATGAAAATGAAGATGTTACCATTAGGAACTCAGAGTTGGAAGTCATGGCATCAGTGGAATATATGAAGTCCTTGTATGAAGATTCAAGGAAGAAGAACAATATCTTGAAGACCAAATTGAAAACTGAAAAATTTCATGGAAGATTGAAGTTGTTATATCTTGTTGTGTCATTTATGATAAATGTGTATTTTGTTATCAATAGTAGTTGCTGAATTGTTTAATGTAATGAGAATGTACTGTAATTGTAGGTCATGCTTCAATGTACTTGATAAATGTACTTGATTGTAGTTGCTAAATTGTTATCGATTGTAGGTGCTGAATTGTTATCAATATTGTTTGTTATGATTAAGTTGACATAATTTGCAATATTTGGTATAAAAAGCTTGTAATTTGACTGTTAAGTGCATAACAAAGCACATATTGAGATATGAGTACAAAATAATACTGAGACATAAGTGCATAACAAAGCACATTACAAAGCACATACTGTGACATGAGTACAAAACACATTAAAGGTTCAAAGTTCATAACAAAGCACATATTGTGACATGAATACAAAATATATTAAAGGTTCAAAGTGCATAACAAAGCACATTACAAAGTGCATAGAAAAACACTTGGTTCATAATACAACATACATTTGTGTCACTCTTGAGTTTTCACTGAGTCATGCTCTTCTAGATGTCATCCCATTTCTTCTTTCCCCTAGAACTGCCAATAGTTGAGTCTTCTTCAGGTATTATAAATGGATCATTTGGATCCCTTCCAGGTCCCTCCATATTTTGTCTTCAAAGTCCTAAGTCTGCCACTCTTTATAATTGGTGATGCAACATTCTTTGACTTTTTCCTTGGTGATATAATTATTTTCACCTGTTATGACAATATAGAGTTATCAAGGTAAAAAAACATAACATGTCTGTAATACGGTGGGAGAATTGACTTTTGGTTTTGCATTTTATCTCGAATATTACAGATAGAAAGAGTCTCCACCGACTTTTCTTTTATCCAATGAGGAAAGGGTGAAAAGAACAGGAAAGACCTTTTAAGATTTTGAGTTCGGGGGGTAAGTTATGAAAAGGGAAGGTGTTAGCACTATTTTCATCCGTAGTTATCTACAAACTCTTAATTTCTTAGCTCACTTTAATTTGCTTTGTGTGTGTTTTGAAAAGGTTTTGAAAATGCCAATGTAAGGCAGTTTGCTTTATAATAACCCTTGTATCAGTCATCAAGAGTGTTTATAAAGAGTTTGAAAGTAGTTGTTTTGAAAGTGTGAGGTGCAAAAATTATTTAAATTTGTGAGCAAGCAATTAAGGGCTTACCCACTGAAAGGTCTTTCGTTATTCTTTTTCCTTCTCTGTTAGGGATTATTCTACCCATACCATTAGTTGGTAGGTAGCCCCATCCATTAGATGTGAAGGGACAGGCGTATGATCGTCGTTATAGTCATAGAAGGCAACATGTAGGGATACCTTAGCAATTCAAAGGGACTGTCGTCATACATTCGTAGGCAACATCGAGGGACAAGATCATTTCTCGTAGGCAACTTCGAGGGACATCGCGGGACTATGATCTTTATGATGATTTTAAACGAGGGTCTTTGCTAATGGTATCCCTATGTTCGAGGGACATGACCATTGTTTTTTAAAGGCAACAGAGAGAGAGGCTACCTTCGAGGTGTACGTGTGCAAATGATTCAGTTCTGTTATGTTTGTCTTGAGAGTTAGGTTTATCTAATGATTGATTTTAAATCTTGCCATACAAGCCTATTACTAACAGTTAAATATATACATACAAGCAATCATAATATAGGTGCAGAAAGTAAAGTGCAAAAAAGTAAACCCTAATTAAGCTATTACAAGGCTTTGGGGTAGATACAATAGTATAAATTTGCGAAAAATAAAACTACAGCTAATACAAAAAAAAAGTGCGACCTATACAATTTTTCTAAGAAAGTAAAGGGGCAAATAAATAAGAAAATGTTAGAAAAGATGTTTTAAAGTCCTAAAATCTAAAACGTTAGAAATTAATTTTTTTGTGTATTTTTATAGAAAACAATTTAAGTTAGTAATTAATAAAAAACCTAATTATTCTAATTAATTTTATAAATTAAAAAAACAAGACCTAAAATCTAATTAAATAAAAAAAGTTAATTAAGAAAACCTAAAAGACCATTTTTATTTTATTTTATGTAATTCTGATTTTTATATATTTTGATTTTAATTGTAAAAAAGAAATAAATTAGTGGAAATGGAGTTTCAAAGAGAGAATCTGATCGTGCCCTAGCCATGGAAATTGATCATCCCTGCGTTAAAGCTTGCATTTTCTTATTCAAACTTATTCTAAACACCATGATAAACTCATATATG